TTTTTATTCAAGAAAGCTTTAAAAGTTTTATATCCAGATATACAACCACAATAAAGCAAAATAACCTATCAAAATAGAAATGTTGCTATCTTTATAAGTGCAATTTAATTTGTAAATAGAGTTTGAATCAAAGTATCAGAAAATACTGCTTCAAGATTTAATTTTAAATCTGCGAATTTAAGGGATATTGGGAAAAGTTTTGGTGTGTTTCTGTTGACTTCTTTTTTGTATGCTGTGATAAAAGAGAAATGAAAAGTGCCAGTCACTGTGTGGTGTCTAGGAAAATCATATATATTTTTTTTCTCCAAGAAATAAATTCTTCCTGGACATTGGCCATACAGCTTTTAAAAATTATTACTTTGTATGTTCAAGTGATAGCAGGTAGCCAAATTTTTTGGCAGTGTGCACTGGTCTATTACATATTTAAATTACCCATCAGTTGTGAGTGACCTCCTGTGGGACTTGCATTCACACAGGGCGGAGCCCAGAATTGCCTTTGACTCTGGCTAGTAATTTTGGGTTGTGGCAGTCTGGCCAAGTGGACCCCTTAGAAACCCGTCTTCAACCAACCAAATAAAATACTTTCTTTTACTTCTATATATTTACTTATTGGGTTCACTTAGCTTTTTTGGCTGTGTGTATGTAAATATGTGTGTATTTTAAAAACTATTTATGGAGCTGAAAGTACATAACATATAAGTGAGTTTCGGCTGGTCAGTTTTATACCTTGCTCCCTAATCTGTGCATAGCAATTTTCTTTTCTCTATTTTAAGGTGTTTTGACATCCTCTATTTTGTTTTAAACTTATAAAGATGATGCCACTAACTCATGGACTGATTATATATAAGCAAATTGTTTTATTTAATGGGAATTGTCTTGACGTGGAAGAACAAGTAGAACTTGCATGGCGTGTTTTGTTTTTTTTATATAAAGCCCATCCTTTACTACTCAGTTCATCATGGCTTTTCTGGACTGGAGGTGGACAGAATGGCATGTGTGTGCTTACATTTTCCTAGGAAATGTCACGCACCTAGTTTATTTCCTTTGGCCTGTCTCCTTTAGTTCATTTTCACTTGGTTTGCTTTTTGTTTTCATTTTGGGGGATTTTGTTTCCCCTCTTCCTTTGAGAGGAAAATGTCACTTTCATCTTAATCTTTTATGCTGGGGACCCTGCAGTGCTCTTGAACTTCAGGGTTCTGGAACCAAACTGAAGCTTCACAGTGGAAACAGCATCAACCAGACAGTTCTGCCCTGAGAACATGCCAAGCCGTTTCCAAGAAGGCCCCTCTCGTAGTTAGAAGAAAAACTTGATTATGTGAAAGGATACCTTTCTCTGTCAGTGCCCTTCCCCCCTCCCCATCCAGCCCTTCCTTTAGGAAAGGGAGGAGTACAGTATATGGCTGGCTGTTTGTCTTGTGGGAGTGACAGGTGAAAGCAGGAAAGGAGGTTAGTATGACCTGTTCACCCACTTTTATTTTTTTTTTCCCATAGCTAGTTATTTCTTCTTTTTAGCAAGAAAATAATGCCTCAGTGGGTAAAAGAGCCAACAAAAAAAAAAAAAAAAGAGAGAGGAAGTGGAAATAAAGTCATTGATAATGAAAAGAGGGATTGGTAAGAAATCATAAAATGTTTGCCTGGATATTGTCTTTTTTCTGGAGAGTTTGGAGGAATGGTCCTGAGTGACCCAATCTTTCTGTCTGAAAACATACTAGCTGGCTGTCAATGAGGTGAGCAGGCAAGGTGGGATCACTCACACCAGCCTCTCACAGCAGCACTTCTGCCATCTCCTGTGAAATCTACCACACCCAACAAGACATGCTTAGTGAATGGGGTGAAGGCTGGGAAAATTCTGTGTCTGAGAGTTACTCTGAACAGCCAGTCCTGCTCTGATGAAAATGACTGACGCTTGGTTGGCCACAGTGGCTCACAGCTGTAATGCCAGCACTTTGGGAATGTGAGGCGGGCGGATCACAAGGTCAGGAGTTCGAGACCAGCCTGGCCAACATGGTGAAAAGTTGTCTCCACTAAAAATGCAAAAAATTAGCCTGGCCTGGTGGTGCGCACCTGTAATCTGAGCTACTCAGGAGGCTGAGGCAGGAGAATTGCTTGAACTTGGGAGGCAGAAGTTGCAGTGAGCCCAGATCGTGCCACTGCACTCCACCCTGGGTGACAGAGCAAGACTGTCTTAGAGAAAAAAAGAAAGAAAATGAGTGATGCTGTGCCCTGGGCATGCTGCTAGTGTGTGGCAGGGCTGCAGCAGCACTCTCCAGGGACTGCATTGCAGCTGCTTATTAATAGAAGGCGATTAGGGACATTGCCACTCAGTGACATCCATGGAGAGTTGAAATCTCACTTCACCATTATTGTTGTCTTACCTCATCCAATTTTCCAAAGAGCCAATTAAACGTAACTTTATTATGGAAAATTCAAAACATACAAAAGTAGAATAATCATTGACCCTCCTATAGCTATCACTTAACTTCAATAATTAGAAACACAAGACTAAGGCATTTATAAGGAACCAAATGTGTTATGCATGTATTTAAAATATATATATTATGTTTTAAAATACATCTATAAGAAAGTGCACAATGAAGCATTTTTTTAAAAGCTCTAGAAAAGCAAGCAAATGTGTTTTTTAAAACTGCTTTGGATTTACAATTTTTGAGTCAACATGCCAGTGGAATCATGCATATGGATATAGGTCTGAATCCCAGCGTGCCACGTAGGTTTGGACAAACTGTTTAACCTCTCTGGGCCTCAGGTCCTTCATCTCTAAAATGGGGCAGTAATACTCCTTTCAGGCTTAGAGTGAGGATTAAGTGGTATACATAAAACATACGCTCTCAGGAAGTGGGTGGCTGCTGTTATTACAGGTCTTGCTGTTTTTGTTGTTATAGTAGTGTTATTAGCAGCTCTGCAATTCCTGCCACCAAGCCAACAGTGTGTCATCAGATGGGTAGTGTTCTCAGGAATGAGGACACACGCTAGTTCTGATGGAGAAAACTTTATTTGAAAACTGTTTCGCCTGTGGTTTTATATATAGACTCCTGCATTATGTAATGGATGGTGGAGATATTAATTTGTCCTGTGTGCTTACTTAATGGTAGGTCTAGCAATGGTCTCATGGTAACCACCTCATTTTAACCAGACTTACTAAGTAGCTGTCCTTAAGGTAAAACTAGATCCTGCCAAGAAACCATGAGACAGCTAGTTGAGGATAGGGTCTCCTTTTCCAGAAAATGTCCCCCTCTTTGTCATAACCTCGGTTTTCTAGGTTCAGGTCTCTGGTGCTCATTTTGCCTTGTCTCTCTCTTTCACCCTGGATTTTCATAACATCTCCTTTTTTACCTCTTGCTTTGTTCTGTCTCCTTTCTCTCAATGGAGGCTTTCATATATCAGGAGGGACGAGTCAATTTAAGACATGGATCATCCACGGAGAAAAACCTGCTGGAACAAATAAATTAGTGCAGCCTGACGTGGGGCATGTAGAGAACACTCCCATCTTATTGGAGTGGTTTCCTTTTTTAAAAAGCAGACAGCTGGTGGGAAAAGGAAACCAGAAGAACCTGATCTGTTACTTGTATTCAGTGGGCTGTGTGGAAGATTGGAGATGAGGTTTTGTGTCTAGCAGTTGGCCTGGCAGTTGGCCAGAAGGATAGTGTAACTTTAAACTCCGAGAGTGGGTAGCCATTGTGACAAGCATGGATTTTAGCCAAGGGCTCTTGAGTTCTGCCTGGACAAGAACCTGACTGGGTCAATCCTCCAAGTTTCTTTTTTTTTTTTTCTTTCTTTTGAGACAGAGTCTTGCTCTGTCACCCAGGCTGAAGTGCAGTGCAATCTCAGCTCACTGCAACCTCCGCCTCCCAGGTTCAAATGATTCTCCTGCCTCAGCCTCCCGAGTAGCTGGAATTACAGGTGCACGCCACCATGCCTGGCTAATTTTTGTATTTTTAGTAGACACAGGGTTTCACCATGTTGCCCAGGCTGGTCTCAAACCCCTGGCCTCAAGTGATCCACCCGCCTTAGCCTCCTAAAGTGCTGGGATTACAGGCGTGAGCCACTGTGCCCGGCCCCAAGTTTCTTTTGCAGCATCAACAATTAACTTCTAAACAAAAAAACGAGCTGCCCTTTTTTACAGTAAGATACTACTATGAACTACAGCAGCCATTCACTGAGTACTTAACCATGTGCCCTACACTGACCTAGCTGAACACAGCCTCAGCTTTCCAGAATACCACCATGAGGTAGATGGTACCATTTCCTTTGTGCAAAGCAGATAATTAAGACTCAAATAATTTTAGGAATTTGCCCAAGATCAAACAGTAAGGGACAAAATCGGAATTCAAATTCACATCTCCATTGACATTTCAATCACCCCTTTATTTCACTTTGCTCCCCACTCCCAGCCAAAGCACTATAACCTGTAATTGCATTTAAATTTGTATTTATCATAATGGTGATGGTTCCGTTTTTTGTCAAAATTACGTAGACCTAATTTATAGACAAAGACTGGCATGGAACTGAGTGAAATTTAATGAAATTGATGCAGAATTGGGACTTCGTTTGTGTCTAGTGGTTGCAAACACTGTGATTCTGCATTCTCTAACCCAGGAGTCCCCAACCTGTACCCCAGGGCCAGGTACCAGTTCTTGGCCTGTTAGCAACTGGGCCGCACAGCAGGAGGTGAGCAGTGGGCCAGCAAGCATTACCGCTTGAGCTCCGCCTCCTGGCAGATCAGCAGCAGCATTAAATTCTAATAGGAGCACAAACCCTATTGTGAACTGCACATGCAAGGGATCTAGGTTGCATGCTTGTTATGAAAATCTAATGCCTGATGATCTGTCACTGTCTCCCATCACCCCCAGATGAGGCCATCGAGTTGCAGAAAAACAAGCTCAGGGCTCCCACTGATTCTACGTTATGATGAGTTGTATAATTTTTATTATATATAATTAATATATAATATATTAATATTATATATTATAATGTAATAACAATAGAAATAAAGTGCATGGTAAGTGTCATGGACTTAAATCATCCTGATGCCATCCCCCCTAACTGGTCTGTGGAGAAATTATCTTCATGAAACTGGTCCCTGGTGCCAAAAAAATTTGGAACCACTGCTCTAACCCTCCCACCACCTTCACTCACTTCCTGTATGTTGTCCTGGGCTGGCTAAGTGCTATGGAAATGTTCATGGGGGTCTTTGTTCTGCCATCTCAAACTGTGCAAATTCTAAGAAACTTGGAAGATAAAGTATTTGGCTAGTGGGAAAAAAAATTTATAATGTTTTCAACATTAGCTGGAGTGACAGTTTGGTAATCAGCTCTCTGAGAAAGCTTCAGCATATTCTGAAAATTGGCAGTTAGCTCCAGAGTGAGCTAATTAGTTAGGAATGACTTTTAATACTCACTACCTTTAATAGCCTACCCTTGGAGAAAAGACAGATAATGAACACTTGGAAATCTATGGTGCTGCAACTTGACCTTCATGCCATTTGGGGGAAATGAGAAAGATGACTCATAATTTATTATTTAAAGAATCCTCCTTTTATAATGTTATTGTGAAAGATTTGACAAATAATGATTGCTCCTTTAGGAACTCTCATTTAATCAAAGAATCAGAAAACAGGAAGAATAGAAAACTTGTGTGACTAAGCAATGTTTAATCTTATTTGAAACTGGCTCCACCACCCTGGTGATAGAAAGAGAAGGTCCTATGGAGTCTTCCCATAGCAAGAAACCCGGCTTGTAACAGGGTATAATAGAGTGACACCCCACACCTGATGCCCAGTAAATGCAGAGTCTGCAAATGCCTCTCTTTTGAGGCTTTCTCAAGGTAAGTCATAAATGAAGTCTTACTAAACAAGCTGCTTGCCAACAGTTGCCCAGGCACCCCATGGGACTGCACTTCACTGAGCATCTGAAGAAAGTATTCATTGGAAATGGGCTCTCCTGGGAGACTGTCTGGATCCCGAGTGTTTGGCGTTCATGTTCCCACACCTGGCTGCTGCTTCTTGCCCTTGCTTAGCTGTAGGTGTGAGTGCTTGTTTGTTTAAACCTCTCTCAGCACTGCTTGGAAAAACAAAACAACATGGTTACTTGTCTGGGCATTGAATGTTCTTCCTGAATTTTGGTCCTGCCCATTGGCCCAGAGGCGTAATGGGTGGGGCAAGTTTCGGGGTTAGTTTGGAAAGTTTCAAGAAGAAGCTATGGGCTGGGTCTGTTAGGTTGGGATTGCTCTTGGTTTTAATCCTTTCGGAATGTCTGAGGGTCAGGAGCATTGCCATTGATGGCTATGGGAGTTGTCAGGCTGTGACTCTCTTTCTCACAGAGAATGCCAGAGGCACCCGGGAAGGCATTTGCCAGGGCTCTGACAGATGTAAAGTAAGCCTCATCCATGTTGTGTTCTCACCGGGACACCTGGAAGGTGTTCAGTGTAGAAAAGTCACGAGCTAGATGAGATACCAGCTTGATGTCAACTCCCTCCCCAACAATGGCTGCCTGTCTTTGTCTTAATGCCTGCCAGCAGGTAAAGGGCGTGTGCCCCTGGGACCTGGGTAGCAGCAGTCCTTGGGAAACCCAGGGTTTGTCATCTGTAGTCACTTGACCCTTGGTAAATTACCTAACCTTTTATTCCACATCTCAATGACAGCAAATCCATGTAGCAGTTAGGTTGTTAGAAGAAATGATGTTGACAACCAGATGTGAAGCTCTGATATGGTTCTTTTCTGCTATCATAGCTACTGGCTCTTTAAAGAACTGGTACAATGTGGGGGGCAGAAAAACCACATCATGCAGTGATGTTGCTCAGTCAGGCATACAGCTAGAGAAGAGCTATCTCTATCCTTAGCTCCTTAGGTTTGTCCAGGGCTGCTCAGTGTGGCTGACCCTGTCTTGCTCACTCTCATGTAACCTGGCACCTACTGCAGTATCCTCTTCTTCTTGAAGGCTGTATTGCGCAGCAGTTTCCAAACTTGAGCATGCATTGGAACCCCCTGGTGTCAGTGTTAAAGCAGATTGCTGGACCCCACGCTCAGAGTCTGATTCCGTAGGTCTAGTGTGGGGCCTGAGAATTTGCACCTCTAACGTGTTCTTAGGTGCTGCTGCTGCTACTGGTCCAGGGAACAAACTTAGAGAACCACTGCTCTAGTGTGCTGGAAGGAGCAGGAGCTTTGGAGTTAAGCAGATTTAAATCCAGCTGTGGCACTTACTTAATGTTGTGACCTTGAGAGATTTTTCTTAATTTCCCCAAGTCTTAGTGAACTCATCTGTAAAATGGGAATAATACTTACTTCAAGACTTTCTAGAGAATTAGATGACAGAGCACATAGAAGGTTTTTAGCAATTACCCCTCTTTTTGCTATCCTGAAATGCATCGTATTTGCTCCATATGGGGAGTCACAAGAACATCTGGTCTCCTTAGCGATGTGCTGACCTTTAGGCTCTTCTTGCTAATCTATACAAGCTAATAGGAGGAGAGGAAGTGCTAACAGAAGTAGAAAGCATACTTGCCTCTGGGTGAGTGCCTAAGGGGAAGACTGAAAATGCAGATGGCTGACGTAGTTAGAATATAGTAACACTTCCTGACTTGCCTGGTGGCTTACCAGCCCACACACCGTGGACTTTCAGTGAGCAGGAACAAAATCTGTGCCTGACATTCAGGTCACAAATCTCCCAACCCACAATCTGTCCTTACACCTGGGCTTTTGGAAGAAACCTTCCAATCTTGGTATTTCAGATTGGGAAACACCCAAGCTCAGGATCTCCAACCTCATCTGTATTCTTCATGTAGCATGACAATCATTTTAGTGTCCTTAGGAAACAAGTTGCCTTATTCAACTGTTCCAAGGTTTCATGATTCTCTCCAAATGCATTATCCCCTTGTCACACTAAGGATGATCCTCAAAATAGGTAACTGGTATGGAAATATATGGTAATACATAGACCAATACACACATTTTAGAAACTCCCTTTTTTTTTATCATATAAAGCAATATTATATGTATCATAAAACTACTTCTCTAGAGATCTGAGTAGTAGTTCTAATCATTTATGATATTGCATAATTATGCATATCATATATTCATAATTTTTGCATCTTTAGGGCTTATTTAGTGTAGGTGGCTGCTATCTAAATGATGCCCTTCCCTGGGCCACCATTTGCTTTGGGAACAACATCAAACTTTTTTGATAGCATTCCTATTAAAATACTCAAGTCCAGGGGCTCTTAAACTATAACCCATTGCCTCTTTTTATAAATAAAGTTTTCTTGGAACATGACTATGTCCCTTTTTAAATGTGCAGGGACCAAATGGCACTCAAAGCCAAAAATATTGATTATTTGACCCTTTATTGACAGTTTGCAGGGGTTTCTGCCTCTAGTCAGTCAATAGGTGCAACCTGCTATCTTTTGCCACCAGAGGGCGTTGGATGTGTCGCCTGGTTATCACAGCTAGACACCAGTCTGGACAAATGGGCAAAACTCAGAGAGCCTGTCTCTTGTTCCCTACCAACAGCAAGACCTGCCCTGCCACTTGCTATGCCAACACTGGGATGCTTTGCAACAAATGCCTGGGGCCACCCCCTTCTGAGGCTGCTCAGGAGCTGTAGCACACCGTCAACACTCTCTTGGGTCCCAATGCTATTATGTTTGGGGACCCTAGTGTTATCTTACATTTCTGTTCGATTTTCTTAAAGGATGGGCTGTATGCCTGGCTAAGCAACATCATTGCATGATGTGTAGACTCCATGAATGAAGCTATCTAGCATCCTGTAGGAAGAGATGCAATATTTTTTAAATGGCCAAGGCAGTACATTTAGATACTGAATGTCAGTCTTCTTTTATGGAGGAAATAAAGGCTTTCATGAGTGAATTGCTAGTTTTTATTCCCTGCTACCCACACCCACAGAATGCCTTTGCTGGACTCTGTCCTCTCCCAGACCTCACTTCCTCATCACAGCTAGCTCTTCCAGCGACTCTCTGATCCTTTTTCTCTTAGAGTTCGCTCCATCAATGATCCATTTTGTCCCATCTCAGCAGCTTCTATAAGCATGTTTAAATACCATTCTAAATGAGCAAAAAACCTTGATCACCTAGCTCAACAACCTAGAGCCACTGCACCCAGCCCTGATAGGCATTGTTTCTAAATCTTTGTGACTACTTTTACTCAACTTTAATTGTTTCAAGTATTTTCATTACAATCTTTGAATTAGGAATAGAAAATTGAATTGGCAAATAGGAAAATTGTTTTTTGATTACTACATGAAGACTTATTCTAAAGACCAATTTACTTTTTGCTTTACTTTTAACTTCTGAGTCCCTGAGAAATAGACTCTTAAGTCCCCTCCATCGTTGTCTTCCTTACTCTTCTCTGCCAAGGTTCTTAAAACAGGTGTATTCTTGTTCTCCCCGCTTCTAAGTTTCCACGCACTACTGTGAAAACTCTGGCTCCCATACACAGCATGGTGGAACTGCTCTAGCCAGGTCAGCAGACCTCTGTGGGGCCACATCCGATGGACACTGATTCAGCTCTTACCTTTCTAGAACTGTCTGCTGCATTTGACTCTGGGGAATGCTCCCCCTTTCTCGAAATTTCTACCTCAGTGCTTTTTCAACTTTTCTGACTGCAACTCAACTTTCTTGAAGGAACCTGTTATGTAGTAACCCAGTAAACACATACATGTACATAGCTGAAACTTTATCCTTAACTATATGTAAGGAACTCTGATATTTCCAATTTCATTATTTTTAGTGCTAATCAAAACCAAATAAATTGATTTCACAACTCATTAACAGGTCATGTCTTGCAACTTGAACCCTTATGCTTTTGACACGCCTCTGTAATGAGTAAGGAAGTTTCTAGGAAGCTTCTTACCAGTTGATTAGCAACAAACGTATAGTTTAACCTGTAAGAAGCTGTGTTGGAGGAAACGCATTAGCTTGGATGAGAGTGGGAGGAAGGTAAAGAAAAATTAGATGTAATAGGTGTTTGTGGGTGTTGATGGGGTGAAAAAGGGCAGTGATGAGAGGAAGATTGGGTTTGTAAATAGGGCATGTAGGGAGATAAAGAGGATGATTACAAAACCAGGGGAAAGAAATTTGCCTACTTGACAGGCCTATTGTGAAAATTAACTTTCAAAGTGGAAATATTATTTTGTAGTGTGTATTGTACTTTTGGAAGAAAGAGTATATTATTATGAAATAAGAATCACATATGTTTTTTCTCCACCCAATTAAAGATTGATGGAAAAAACTTCACCCAAACTGGAGCATTTTCAGTAGAGAGCTCCATTTTCTTTGCCACTTGACAATGTATTCAGACTAGATTTCTCCACCGCATTTGTGCATCACATCTAGTCAATCACTGGAGACCTCTGCGTGTTTCTTAGGCTGACAGCATTTCAAGCAGAACAGAATCAGCCTAAGAAACTGGATTTTCCAGTACTATGGCTGAGATAAACTTGCCTGTTAACTTCTTAGATTCAGCGCAGACCCCTCTTCTGAGGATTGAATATATGTAAGGCATTGTTTCTTTGTTTGTTTGTTTTGAGACAGGATCTCTGTCACCCAGGCTGTAGTGTGATGCTGCGATCATAGTTCACTGCAGTGAGTCACCTTGCCCAGCTAATTAAAAAAAAAAAAATTAGAGATGGAGTCTCACTATGTTGCCCAGTCTGGTCTTGAACTCCAGGCCTGAAGTGATCCTTCTGCTTCAGTCTCCTGAGTAGCTGGAGTTACAGGCTAGAGCCACTGCACCTGGCCCTGATAGGCATCATTTCTAAATCCTTGTGGCTACTTATTACTTGACTTTAATTGTCTCAAGTATTTTCTTTATTATCTTTGAATGAAAAACAGGGAAATTGTTTTTTGATCACTACATGAAGGCTTATTCTAAAAACCAATTTACTTTTTCTTTACTGTTTTTGTAACTTGAGTCCCTGGGAAATATACTCTGAGATGCCCATTTGGATGCAGGAGGTTTACTGAGGAATGCTCTCAACAACACTGGTAAGGAGTGAGGAAAGCAAAACTGGGCAGTGGGAAAAGTGGAACTGCGATGCAATTGCAACTGAGGCTTTGAATGGTCAATAAGGAGCTGGGGATCCCAGCTGAGGCAAGAAAGCAGGCCTTTGTACCCCACAACCAGTAATTAGACGTAGGCTGCCGCTGGAAAGGAGATGCAAACATGGGCAAGGCAGTTTCCTTTGATAGAGGGCAGTTCCTGTGGAGGGGTTCATGGGTGAGCAATGAGCAGCCAACTCGCTTAACAGCTGGGGCAATGAGCGCCTTCATTCTGAAAGGGCGATCTCAGCTGCACGCTACAATGTGCACTACAGATGTGTTAGTCACTCCAGTCATCTTCAATCTGGTTATTTCCTCAGCATGTATTACATTTCAAACAATTTCTCTTCTAAGACTTGGTTTTTAAAAAAAACTCACTTTTTGGGCCGGGCGCGGTGGCTCACGCCTGTAATCCCAGCACTTTGGGAGGCCAAGGCGGGCAGATCATGAGGTCAAGAGATTGAGAC